AGACTACATATGCACTTCTCCTAAAGCAACACTAAACTAGCACTAAATTTTATTCGAAAAAAAAAGAACCTTGCACCATCGCTTCATCTGCACCCGCTTCTCCTTCGGGTCTGTCTTGACCAGCATGCGTCAGCCGATAATTCTTTGCCCTAAAAGAGATTGTAGGCATACAAGAGTGCATGCAAGATGTAATTCAACAACAAATTTTTCCATTGTTCCCTTCGATTAAGAGAAAACGGTAAAAAAAAAATTTAATTGAATGAATTAACAGATTCCGTGCCGCTCGGTTTTTGTGATTTTCCGCACTTGCCTACCTCTTTTTTTTCTTTTTTTTATTTACTTTTCGTTATTACGATACTACTTAGCATACGCAAAACCCTAAACAGGGGCCTAAAAAAGACCGCTCAGCTAAAAGTAAGCAAAGAAAAACAACATACATACTAGAGGGTTTCAGGAAATTCAACTCCTTTGGTGATTCGTTAGTTTGTTTTTATCGCAAATCTGGTGGATTCTCTGCAACGGCTATTCAAGCTGCCCGCAGTTAGCTTTTAAAGTAAATTTTAAGTGAAAACTATTGGTATGCGCTGATGCTTGCAAAACGCTATAACTCGAGATAATATCGTCTCTCTCTTGGGCAGAAGAATAGGAAGCACGGCTTTGTATGGATTGGCTGAATGATACCTTCGCTGATAAAGGGGGTGAAAAAATACCGTTCTTGCTTGAGGCTGTATTCGAGCATTTTTATGCGCCGAATGAGATCTGCCTTCAAATTCTCCTGTCCTTTGCGCTCTCCTTGCAAGAAGCTTATTCGAGCCTGCAAAACGAAACAGTGTCAATCGTGCGCCAGCATATGTTACAGCATAAAAGATCGCAAAAAGGAGGACGTCCATTCATTTGGTGCCTATTCAATCATATTTAGCTTTATCCATCGCAGTGCACGATACAGATCTTCGTCTCTCAGCTCAGTCTGACAATGCTAGAGCTCCTTTCAGCTGGCACTCTGATCTTCCTTAAAATCCGTTAATTCTGACGGCTCCTAACAAAACCACTTCGGGTAGGGTGGGGGGAATGCGAAGCTTGCAAGTATCCTTTTTATCCCAAAAAAACAAAGTTTCCGGGGAAATGTATCTATTTTGAAGTTCAAATGCTCAGACCTGCAATTCAGCCCTTTCCATTTCCCACTGCGCCCGATCCATTTCATACCGGCTCCATTCATGTTGCAAAAAATGCAGCACGCCATGCATCGTGTATGGCACTTTTCGCGACTGAAAATGCTCTATTCAGAAACTACGACAACATCTGGAACAAACATTTCATCATCGAAATTGGCTTTTTTTTGATTTTCCCTTCCTTTTTTTTTGTAACGGGAGAAGCTAGAATATTTGATGTCGTCGAGAAAGAGAACACTTAGAGATGATACTGTGGAAGCACGTTTGGTCGTGTCAGGCGCCAACAGCATACAAAAGAAAATTGA